GCCGCAAAATAGCAAATATTCCGCTCGTTTCGTTCGTTCTATCCGAGGTACATGATTATCAAACAATTATGCTAATCGTATTTCGGATACAAGACCGTTAGTTTACACGGAGGAGGAAAACGATCGCCTCGGCCGGGCCACTGACCCCTTCGCGGTTTGTACCAATTCATTTCGTCGGTATACAGCCACTTTGCATATTTGAACGCCCACCGATCAACTCTGACTGTCATTCCGTTATATCCGTGACTCGTTCCGATAATTCCACGATTCCGTGGAGAAAATTTGAAAATTTTTCTCTTTTTTTTTTTTTCTCGATATCTCAATGACAGCGTTGTTGATCGTGTTAAGAGTGTGACAGAAATTGAAAGGATTTTAAATATTTCGGATCGACTCGTTTCCCCTCGATTTTAACTTTTCACTCGTAACGTGGCAACTCGATTGAAAAATTATGACGATCGAGAAGACGTTCGTTTCGATTCTTTCGATTCGAATTCTTCGTTCGTTAAATTTAGAACACGATATAATTAAAAATCGTGTTCCGAATTTGAAGACCGTCCGTTTCGATTTCGATTTCGAAAGCACACCGTGCACTCTCCACTCTTAACGCGACTCGTGTGGCTCTTAACGAAAAATTCACACGTCGCACGAAAACTCTCTGGCCGAGTCGTTTGAACATTTCCGGGTCGTTTCTTCGCCGATACGCGCAAAATAAAAATCTTTATCCGTATAATAACAGGATTTCGACGGGACGTCGGTTTTCGCGAAACCTTTAAAACCTTTTTGTTTAAAACTATACGTAATATATTACTTACTGAGCTGTATCGTTCAGGAAGTTATGGAGTTATCCTTCGCAGTTCTAACCGGAAAGAATCGTCTTTGGATCTTACAGCTACTCCTCCGTCCGTACGAACGCACTACGAAAAAATGTCTCTGTCCCCCTTCCTCTTTCTCGTTTATTGCACTATTGTTATCCTGAACTAGTTCGACCGGAAAAAACTGACCACCCAAAAACCGAAACTGGGATTACTCTCGATTTTTTTTCCACCGAGGGGCGAATTTCAAATTTCTCTTCTTTCTTTCCGTCTCTTCTGTCACAAGAGAACGAACGCATCACGCCTCCCTTCGTCCCTTCGTCAACCAACGATACAACAAAATTTGATCTAGTCAATCAGTTAAACCAACCAGACTAAACCTCTCCTCTCCTCTCTCCATTATTATACCACTGGGAATTAATAATCGAACGCGTAATAATCGTCCCTTTCCAGATCCCGTCCTCGTACTCTTCGTCACGTTGTGTTCGATAACCGATAAAACGGTGCTTCCAACGGTGGGATGGAAACGATCGGTTCACCAGTCGTTTCACCAGAAACGCCGCGGAAAGAGGGACGAGGGAACGTGTTTGTCGATCCGTCTGCCCGTTACAGTGTTTTCTCCAGTTTCTCGAAGGATCTAGTTGTTCTAGGGGAGAGTGGTAGTTTTCGCTTCTCGTCACGCCCGCGGTGTTAAGAGCGTGGCCACGATTTGGCCGTAGTCGGGTTGATACTGCCTTCCTGGGTCGTACGTTAAACTTCAGACCATTTGCAATCCTTTGGTGATGCTCTCGACGTGCTCCTTGGCCCGCATTCTCAGAGCCTGGATGCTCGTTGTGCGCGGGTCGTGACCAGGCGGACTCGGTGGCGCCGCCGGGACGTGCCCTCCGCTCCCTATGCTCGTCATCCCTGCGCTCAGCCCACCTGAAAAACAATTTTATACATTTTTATATTTTTATTTGCAGGGTGCAGCTAACGATACTTTGTGCAATCTAACGAGCAACGCCTCTCGATTCGGTAGAGTTCGTTCGTGACAATTTTGGGGATAATTTTAAATGGATAATTCGAGTTATCCTCGGGAGAGTCTCACCTGGTACCGCGCTTCCAACAGCCCCAACGTTGGGCGGCGACGGCAATCGTCTCGGGGAGGTTAGATAACTGGGATATCCCGTGTGAGGTGCAGCGAGAAAGCCGGGAAGAGCGCTCAACAGACCAGGAGGAGTGAGCCAAGGATCTCCAGGCAGACCAAGAGCCGGCCCGGCCACGTTTCTGTAAAACGTGAAAATCATATCGTATCGATCGGCACAATTATCCTCGCGCAAGGGGCGTACAATTTATAGGAGTTGTTCATAGGAGATTCGTTATTATTATTACCTCATATTGCCGGGATGATGATACTCGCTGAGGCCGAGTCTCGCTGCCTCCATCTTCTCCTGTCTGCGCCATTTTGCCCGCCTATTCTGAAACCACACCTGGAACACAAAACGGTAGAAGCATGGGTTATATATCGGCGACGCGGATTGCAACGGTTCAATTCAACTTTCAACCCCCGTGCAAAACTTCAAAAACGTCGATCAAAACGAAGGTTGCTGGGGCGGGAGCGTGGTTACATTCCTCGTTCATGCAACTTTCGACCTCGAAAATCATGCATTTCGAATCGTTTAACAAATTCACCATTGGAAACGGAACATCTACGGATATACTCGTTCGTGGGAAAGTGAACGGTTCGAAAAATTCTTCCCGAGAGCGAGAAATCGAATCGAAGCTTTGCAGAGAGACAAGGGAAAGACAAGGGCCGAGCAAGTAAGAAAATGGAGTTCCTTTGGCTACACTCGCGATACCGTGCAGGCGAGAAAAGTGGCTGCCAAAGCCCTCTTATCCCTTTCCTTCCTCCCTTTCTCGAATTCCCATTCTCCTCTCCCTTGCAAAACTCCCTCTCCTCGTCTTACTTCTAATCTTCTCTCCCTGCCTCATTCATCCTCTCTCGAACCCATTGCGTTCAGTTCGTTCGAGGTTGGCCGTGTTGCTGCTCCCTCGGCGACGAGAAAGGGGGGTTGCGGAGAGAAATGTCTCTGGGCGGGGCGGTCCACCCCTGGAGGCAGCACGGGCCAAGAAAAGGAGGTAAGAAGGGATCTCGTAGGGTGAGGAGAGTCCGCGCGGGGACCACCCTTCCTCGACATCAAGAGGGTAACGAGGGTAACTGCGGGGCGAAATCGAAAGTGAGCGACGTGACGGCGCTCTCTCTCCCTCTCTCTCTCTCTCTCTCTCTCTCTCCTGTTCCAAGA